CGCCCCACGCCAGCGCCTGGCCTGCCTCCACCTTGGCCAGCCTGCTCTCCAGCTCCTGCACCCACGGATCTCTCCCCAACCGATCCCCGGCCTTTCTGGATTCCCTGGTTGCCAGCCAAGGGCCCCCCCCCGGGCCTCTGGAGGCCTTTCCCCCATGGACCGAGTCACCTTGCCAGCTGGGAAGGGGGAACCGGGTGGGAAAACTGAACCCGGTATGCCAGGCAGCACGGGGCAGCTGTGCACACACAACACACACAGATGAAGGGCAGAGCCTGTAACCGAACCACAGAAGGGAGGGGAAGAAGGTCTACCCGGAGGCCTGGGGGGTGGGTGAGGGTGGGGGGGACAGGCGGTCAAGGGAGGAATTCCTGCCAACTGGATACCTTGCAGGCACCTGAGCCCAGGGAGAGGCTTGTGCGGGAGGCCAGCCCCACCGAAGGAAGGTCGGCCTGGCCAGAGACCCTCCACGCTCCAGCTGCGGCCGCCGGCCCTCTGGAGCAAAGGTTAGCCACACCACGCGCTGCTGCTGCCACCACACACACCCCTCCGCAGGCCGAGTGCTCAGCCCCCACCTCCTCTCGGATCCCGTTCCAAAGTTTGCTGGCGAGGGATCCACTGCTCTCCCCATGGCTAGCCTCAGGGTGGAGGATCAGCCACACCGGCGCCTCCTCAAGGCATGGGGCCGGGCGGTGGGGAGGTGCCCATCCTCCTGAAAGCAACTTTTGCCCCACGCTGCCACCTTCCCGCCCGATGGCTAGCCTCCCGGATGGTAGAGGTCATGCCATGGGAAAGCGTCTCCATGCGCCCACCATCCCTCCCTCCCTCCCTCCCTCCAGCCCGCAGCTGCTTCATGGCTCACAACAGACAGAGCTGGTCTGGGCTTCGTTAAGGCAGCCCTAACGAGGCCCTGGCCCTCCTTCCTTTTCCCTGCTTGGTGGGGAGCCAACCTGGCTGGCTTAGGGGTAGCAGCTGCTGTGGCTGGGCAGGCCCAGCTGATCCCTGCTAATTAGAGGAGACAGAGAGAAAAGGCTTCGTTAATTAGCACTTTAGGAGCTGTTACATGGGAGGAGGGCAGGGAAGAGTTGCTCCGGAAAGCAGAGAGTGTGGGACCAATGAGGTCACGCGATTGAGCACACCCGTGGAATGTTCCCCTTTCTAATATATATGGATGGCGGAGTCTGAGAACTCCAGTTTAAAAAGTAACTTTTCTTGTTATGTTGGAGCTTGTCAGGTGCTGGGGAAAAGACTACGTTTAGTTTTCTGCTGCTTTGTATTTACCGCGTTTCCCCGAAAGACAGGGTCTTATATTAATTTTTGCTCCAAAAACACATTAGGGCTTATTTTCAGGAGATGTTTTTTTTTCCATGTACAACAATGAACATTTATTCAAATAAAGTCATGTCATCATTTTCTAGTTGCTGCACAAGGGTGGAGGGCAGGGTTTGATTTAACTAGGGCTTACTTTGGGGGGGTAGGGTTTATATTATGAGCATCCTGAAAAATCATCCTAGGGCTTATTTTCAGGGAAACAGGGTACCTATTGAAGGACTGTTTGCTTTCTGCATGCCCTATCATCATGAAGATTTTTAAATATGCAATATGTACTTATTAAATATGTTCAACCAGAAAGGAAAAACAGGACGTTTCTTCCCTTAGATCCAAGAAATCAAAAGGAAATTTTAGCCTAAATTAGAGATACTGGAAGATCAATAGGGAACATATCTGATCAGGATAAAATAAAGAGAAGATGGAATCAATATAATGAAGAAGTACACAGAAGAGCTACACAAATCACCAATTCCTTCAAAGAGGAAGCCTGTGATAAAGAATTTGCCGTTTCAGAAAATAAAGGGAAAGCTGCTTTAGAAGCATGTGGATAAAATTAAATCATCAGGAATAGAATAGTTGAGATTGATACCGGAGCAGTTTGGCTGATAACAAGATAGCAATAAAACTATTTCAAGCTACAGAGCCCAAATCTGTCAAAATCTTACCAACACTATGTCGGTGAATATGGAAAACAAAATAAAAGCACATAAACCAAAAACATTCCAACCGAAAAGAAAGGCGATGCCAAAAAGTGCATTTACCATTGGACGAACACATTCATTTTCCACAAAAGTGAAGCGGTCCTCAAAATTTTACAACCAAGACCATATATGCCATATATGCAGGGAGAGGAACGGGGAAAGGAGAGAAATACGAGATTGTGAAAAAAGAAGACGCAACCTGTTGCAAACACATTGTGCATCAGTTCCTGAAGAACACAAAAGAACTTCTGCAGAAAATAAGCTGGTGCTTTACAGATGGCAGCAGCGCCTTTGACTGCGCGGATCAGGAGAAGCGACAGACCGTTCTAAAGCAAACTGGTGTGCCTCAACATCAGATTGTGTTATTTATCTATGTATTTAATTTATTCTATTTGTACACAGCCTATCTGGTCAATACGACTACTCTAGACGGCTGTTACACCGCAGGCTAAGTAACACTTATGTTCACGAGGCTGGTCTTAGGGCAGAATATGGAGAAACCGAATGGTTTCCTATGTGCAAAAGAGTGTATTTCATCTCCCTTACCTGTTACATTTTCTTTATGGAATCTATCATATTGAAAATGGTAGTCAATTCAGATGAAAGGAGAACAAAAACTGGCAGAAGAAACATCAGTTATCTGAGATATGCCAATGGCACCACCTTACAAATGAATAATTTCAAATAAATTTATTTATTGTCATTGTAAGTATATACATAGTATACACATACAATGAAATTCACACAGACACCCAGAGACCAGACCCACATGCACACACACAAAAAATCCCCCACTAAGAACGTCTACACCGCAGGCTAACTAACACTGTCCAACTGTTCACTGCTGGTGGTCTTTAAGTTCATTATTAAGTGCAATTACCGGCAGAAAGCAGCCGTGTCTTGAAACCACTTTTTGGAAGAAGAACGGAAAGCAGGAAGTGCCAAAGCAGGTCTGCAGCTAAACATGAAGACGAAAATCATGACTACAGGCAAACTACACAACTTTAACGATGACAATGAAGAAACTGGAATTCTTAGGGACTTTGTCTGCCTTGGTTCAATCATCACTCCAAAGGGAGATGGCAAGCCAAGAAATCAGAAGACGATGGAGACTAGGAAGAGCAGCAATGAAGGGATTAGAATGGTCACCAGGTGTACAGACAGATCACCAGAGGTGAACACCCAACTGCACTTCCAGTTGCTATGTAGAGAATTGAAAACTGGACAACAAAGGAAGCTCACTAGGGGGGAAAAACACCTTATTTATTCAAAATACAGAGCTAGAAAAAAACGTTGAAACTGAGGCTGTCCTCGTAAGTGGGCACTCATAAGAAAACAACACTCACTGGGAAAAAAGAGCAGGGCAGAAAAACAGGGAAAGCAGCAGGAAAAGAAGCGACGGGTGGATTCCATAAACGAAGCCACCACCTCGGGTTTGCAATCTCTCGAGCAGGATGGGACCTTCTGGAAATCATTAATTTATAGGGTTGCCATGAGTCAGAACCGACTCGATGGCACATCGGACCACAACAAGGATGTCCTCGGGCACTTTTCTCTGCCGAAGCACAAGGCAGATAAATGTAATAAAGAAGCAAGACTGGTTTAAACAGTCCTGCTCTTGTATTTTTTTTAAAAAACACTTTCCTCTCTAGATCACAGAAATTCTGATTTTTACAACAAAACAAGGCCCATTTAGGAAGTTCTAAAGTGACGGTGTGTGTGTGTGTGTGTGTGTGTGTGTGTGTTTCTGTTGGGTGGGGTGGCAGGGAGACCCTGTCCCATTTCCCCTGGACGACTTCTGCCTCCTTTTACTCCAACTTTCAAGGATGGGGGGGGGAAAGCTGCAAGGCATCAGGGTATCTCCGTAGAGAGGAAGAGCAAGGAGAGAGAAACCTCCCCACCAGCCACAACCCCCCCCCCAATCTGCAATTTACCTGGGGGGAGAGGGCCTACAGACGTGGGGGATGGAACCTGACATGGGCACCTTGGCACGGCTCACGCCACGTTCTCTCTCTCTCTCTAGCTTTCCCTGCCGGAGTCTCTCTTTACTCCGGGCCAGGAACCGCGGCTTGTTTACAGTTCCAAAGGGCCCCGGCCGCCTAAGGCCGCTCCTGACGAACCCCACCAGGTGAGGCCAGGCCAGGCCAGGGACCGGCAGCCTTCTGCACCCCCACCCACCCCCAGGGTCTCCTTCGTCCTGCTCTTTCAAAGGACCCAGAACCCACTTCCCCCTTCTTTAAGGGCTTGCCACAACTGGGCCCCTGGACGCCAGTGGTGCCTCCTCCTCCTCCTCCTCCTCCCTCTCAGGAGGGAGGGTGCCAAGTCAGGACCTCAGGTCTGCCTTCCTGGTGGAGAGCAGCCTCCCCCCAACCCCCAACCCCCCCCAACTGGCCCGATGCCCTGCTGGTGTTTGGGGCCACAAAGGCCAGGGGCCGTCGGGCATTTGGGCACATCCTGTCCACCTGGAGGGTCTCGGGTTCAAGGCAGGGGAAGCCACAAAGCCCGATAAGCAAGCTCTCTGTGCAGGATGGAGGCTGGGGTGGCGCAGGGCGGGATGGCGAGGGCACCGCTCAGTAGAGAAGGGCTGGCTGGACAAGGTCGAACTGCTAGTGGTTTAAGGCCTCTGGTTGCAGAGCCAGAGGCTGGGAGTTCGATTCCCGACTTGTGCCCCCTTGATGACCCAGAGGGTCCCTTCCAGCTCTGCCGCTCGAAGGGGATAATGATGATTCTATGTAAAGCCCCACTTCCATTTCTTGCCCTTACACCCCAGGAAATGAGGGCAAAATGAAAAGGAACATTTCCCCCCCTGCGAAGCTGGAAGGATGCGGCCAGAAGGGAGGCGGACGGGCCAGGCTGGCATCCGAGTCGGGAGAAGCCGCTCACTTCTCCAGCGCCACCTGGGCTCAGGGTAGGGTTAGGGGACTCCGGGCCCCAAACAGCCAAGCTTTCCAAAGGCCGGCCGGCCGGCCGGCCGACCGACTCCAAGGCACCCACCCCAGCCGGCAGTGCCAGCCAGTTTTGGCGCTTCTGGGCTAGAGGGCCAAAGGTGGCCCACCCTGGCTGGGGATCCACGGAGGACCCCCACCCACACACACACCTGGTCACACACACACACACCCCGACTGCCCTGCCCCCCCCTCACCCCACTCACCCTTGCAGTGCAGCTCCACCAGGGCCGCGTACCACACCTGCTGCTGCTCGGCGTCCTCGGCGGCCAGGCCGAAGGTGCCCTGGTGGGCATAGAGGACGATGAGGTGCGGGTGGCGGGCATCGGCCCGCTTGTTGATGTTGAGGGCGCTGGCCAGCGGGAAGGTCCTCTTGGGGCGAGGGGCCGCCCCGACGCCCCCCGCCCGGAACTTCTTCTCGCTCTCGTAGTACTCGAGGCGGGCCCGGCCC